CACACGACTGCCCTTTTGACTCTATTGGAATGGGATGTGCATCTGTTTTTGGACGTCCCCTTCTCACCTCATTCTAAAAACGATTCCACCGTTTCCGCTCTCAGCGCCACCTTCACCTTCTCCGCTGTGTCGAGTGACCTTTTTGACCCGCAGCAACGTTGCAGCTGGGTACGGTGATGACTGCGATCATAGCCACTTCGTCTCCGTCACAAAAGACCGACCACCAACGTTGTCCCGGAGGGCACCCTCCGTCTTGCGGCTGTCGCACGCGCCACTCTAGATCGTGGTACTGTTTCTTCCGGAGAGATTGTGCATGAAGGGACGCTCGTGTTCTTACCTCGCGTCAATATCAACAAATGCAGCATGTTGTAGTAAACAGTTTTGATATCAGTAGGGAGATTACGCTGGCTGAATTCCAAGGATATCGAGAAAAAGGAAGTGAGGTAACGTTATTTTTGTGGTTTTAAATAAGCCATTTTTTCTTGTGATTTTCGCACCATCGCATTCAGAAAAAAAACATATTATTCCATTCTCATTTTCTATTGACAGGTGGTGAAAGATTTAACAAATTAAAGATGATGAAATTTATGAAATCTGTGATTAACAGAGGTGAGTCAGTAAAAAACAACTACTGGCGATTGGCAAAAGATAAAATATAATGACAATTATTTTCAAATTTTCACAAAACAAATTAATTTCTTACGCGTATCCACACATTTTAAACATTGCATATATACTCGAAGCATCTGTCATAATTGTGGTGTACGGAAACGGTTTGGATTGGATAAAAATATTTTTTTCTCGAGATGTTTTACGTATAATGCTTGAAATCGCTCTTGACGTACACCACGAAATGGATAGTTCACATTATTCGAAACAACATTTATCGTATAGATAAATCCAGACGAGACTGCTTGAGGGGTCCCTGAGGATGTTTACGATGATGCCTCATGCATGTCCAGCAACCTTAGTCCCTAAAAGGACAACAAACAAACCAACACTGGCCTCAATTCTAAATCTCAGAGGTCTCGGATCAGGAAGAGGGCCCGAAGGGTAACAGCCGGCCGGGATTTCCTGCGTCCCCCACCTCCATAAAAAACGCGGGCTGTCCGGGCGCGCGGGCGAGGGCGAGGGCCGAGTACCTGTGGGCGCCCCGCGACCTTCTAAGGGCGACGTGGTCTCCGCGGCACGGCGCTTCCCTGTCTTTTGGCCCGCATCCACCGCGCCGAGGGCCCCGAGGGCCAGGCCAGGGCGAGGGGCCGCTCGCGCCGGGGGCCAGCGGCAAGGGGGGACGGGGGCAGCTCGCACTTCCTGCTCTTAATGGATATTCAAGCCGCCAGATTCGGGGCGAGTTCCAGCGCGGTAGAAAAAAAAATTGAATGGCGGTGCGAGTATTTCCGCGAGCATTTCGCCGCGGGGTCGGAGCGGGAAGCGCCCTGGGCGACTTGAAATGTGAGTTCTTTGGAGAGGGAGACGAGAGTCAACCCCCGAGGGGGCCAGAAATGAGCCCGTCGAATGGTGTGCAAATGAAGAATGATCTATGAAATAGTAAACAATTCATTATATGCACATGAGTGATATTCACGACAATAACAATCAAAATATAGTAGTCATAGTTATCTACCTGAAACCCGAGTAGACCAAGGATCAGAGACACCAAAATATTCAATGAGAATTACTTAATGTTTTTCTCAATAAGAAAATCCTTTTCATTTGAAGATATAACATGTACATATAGATCATTTACACATATTTTTACATAATGTACGTTTTTTTTCTAATAATAGAGAGAGAATTTATCTATATTTCAATCACTGTTTCAATTGCATGTGTAAAGATTCATTAAGAAATTTACGAGGCACACTATCAAAATATCTGTTAACACCCTTTAAACCAGTAGGTCTTACAAAAATTAATAATAATTAAAAATACAAAATTAAAATGCATCTAGCGAAAAGCGTAGTGACAATAGACTCAGAGAAGGGGGAGCAGGGCAGGTTGCCCAGATGGTTTGCCGATTCTAACAAGAAAGTAGAAAGCTGGTCTATTGCTCACGTCGGTTGCCAAACTGCATTAGCTGCGCAGGTAATCGAGGAGACTGCACTCAGTGGTAACACCGGCCCCAACCAGTGCACATTCCCAAGTTAGCGTTGCCGAAAGCAACCCGAGTTTAACTTCCTAGAACGTAACTAGGGCTGTTCCAGCTAGTCTAAATATTCGTCTCTATTCATCGCATGTGGCATCACGCCTCGCTGTCCCCGCCCACGGCCGCACGTAGAACGCGCGTGGGCAAGATAGCACACGACATAAACATCAGCGGCACCGTGTACGCCAACAAAAAATGGAAATCCACGCAATTTTTTGTGTGACGTATCTCATCGTTCCAGAGAACCCTTATCCACTATGATTTATGTACTTTTTCAGTTATTTTGTTCGTATTAAATTATTTTTTCCTTCATTTCATTTCTCTCGGGGGTCGAATATGCGAACGTAAAAAACGCATATTAATTCACGTACGTGCAATTTTCCTGCAACGACATTTTCTACGTGATGCTGGTAAATTTATGAGAGGGAAAATGATGAGGTGGACAATATACTTCCGAAATAATCGAATGAAATAAGCGATGACATGTATCCTGCCAGAGTATATGCTTAATTCCTTTGCAATGAGATATACAATGTTACGTATGACGTATCCCTCCCTAGACATTTTCCAGGGATCTGAGTGAATTACCGGACGAAGTTACAATATGTGTCCATAATCCACTTAAAGTTTAAAAAAGTTGCATGCAGTGTGACGAGAAAATAATACTACAATGATTCTATATTCAAATAAGAATACATGCAGAGTTAAAAAACTTCATTCTAAGTTTGTGATGAGGGTCCAACGAAAGTGTCGAAATTTCTACTAAACGACATTTAATGAATGATAATAGCTGAACTGATTAATAATTTAAACGCGATTAACGTATATTAGGAGCTAGAGTTCGACTTATAAATCTGATTCCCACTGTCAAATACAAATTTTTTGCACGAAAATAGCAGTAAAGCAGGTAAAGATTCAGACATCACACGATAGAACTTACGGACAAGAAAAGTAGTATTCTGTTTTCGCACATGCAATTAGTTCCAAGTTCGAAAATCGCGTGTTGTGCAACACCGCCGCCGTATATCTCGGAGGCAGGGCTGTGCCGGCAAAAAAATTTATTCAGGCGTTAGCGTCACTGACGAAGACGCCTGGCGAAGGTCGCGCGGGACGCGTCGGCAGGCGGCGCGCAGCGGGC